GATCTACTCATGTATTTTTGCAGGCACCGGTCTACTCATTTGTTTTCTTTTAACACTGATCAGCTGTAGGGCGGCCCTTTGAAGCCCGGGCAAGAGTTTAAACAGTTTTTTTCCCTCTAGCCATCAGCTGGGACTCAGGAGGCAGCAATAGATTGGGGGTGGGGGCAAATAAAAGGTAAGAATAACGCGGGGGGGGAGGCGCGGGGGGGGAGGCAGAACCGGTTCGGTGACATCATATCGTCTCCGCTACCGGCTCGGGAGAACCGGGCTGAACCGGGAGGAACCCAAACTGTGCATGCATGCCCAAACTGAAAGGTGTGCATGCGCAAATGTGTGCATGTGCAGACATGAAATGTGGGCATACACAGACATGCATGTAGGCATGCGCAGCAGAGACCCAAAGACCAGCTGGCTGGCGGGAGGTGGGGCATCCCAACACTGGCAGCGTGGCAAGAGGTAAGATCTTTTTCTTTCGTGAGCTTCTGTTTCATCATTTGCAGGGAAACAGAAGCTCATGAAAGAAAGGCCACAGAGATCTGATCTGGGGCTCCCACCTCTGGCAAGCGTGCCATAGGTTCACCATCACGGACTTATCATAAAAGATGCTTGTTGATTTGGTGACTCTCATGTATCAAATATAGTGTGAGGTCTACTGATGGTCAAAGTTGAGTATTACAACATTTGTTGAGTCAATACTGAAAACTAAAAAAGCGAGACATGAAAAAAAAGTTTTCAGCTTACCTGCTTGGCTATGGCCTTACTGTCCAATTTGTTATAAACTTTTCTAATCCTTGCCACTGTCAGGGAAGAAACGGAGAGCGCGTAGAGGCCAAAAGATACTTTCTCCTCTGGGACCAACGAGACTGGAGATGGACCGATTCCTTCTGCTTTGGAATCTTTACCTTCAAGCAAGAGAAACATTTCAGTGTGAGATGATATAACATACCATAGATCATAGCATAGCTGGCTGGAAAATTCTAGGAGTTGAAGTCCACAAGTCTTAAAGCTGCCAAATTTGAAGACCTCTGCCATAGATTATATACCAGATGAGATACAACCTTTAAACCAAATCTCACTGCAATTGGGAATGCCCTAGGAGACGTCAGAGAAGGACAACTTTTCAGAGTTAGCTTCTACAGAAAGTCCACAACTTACAACAATTTGCACTGAAAAAAGGGACTTGGGACCATTTTCACACTTACGACCGTTATAGCATTCCCCATGGTCACATGATTTACATCACCCCTGACAACTGACTCACATTTATGACGGTTGCAGTATCCTGGGGTTATGTCATCCCCTTTTGCGACCTTCTGGCAAGCAAAATCAATACGGAAACCAGTTTCACTTAACAACCGTGTTACTAATTTAACAACTGCAATGGTTCGCTTAACGAATGTGGCAAGGAAAGTCGTAAAGTGGGGCAAAACTCACTTAATAAATTTCTCACTTAACAACATAAATTTTGCGCTCAATTGTGGTTGTAAATTGAGAACTACCTGTGTTTGCAATATAGTTATAGTGCAGTATTATGGGTTAGAGAGAAATATTTAGCCTAAGATCTAGTCAATAATAGCAGCAATTCTAAAACAAATCAAATGTTCATCCAGTATCTACTTTGCTACTATAAGCACAAACGTAATAGATTTTAACTTCACAGTAACTAGAACTTTGAAACAAGTTGCCCTCCTTGCATGTAAATTCCAAGAGTTGCTTAGCAATGGGTAGTTTACCCACATCGTGCACCCTTAACAATACAGCTATAGTTGCTATGATAAATGAGTTGCAAATTCCCCTCCTTTCCAGTTGGTCTCACCCTACTCTGCTTTGTAATGGCTCAGTTGTTTTCCTAATTAAAAACAAAGCTCCAGCAGCACGTTGGCCCAATTACAATTAGAGGGACTGTGTATAAAATGCTAATTGTCCTCTCCCAACAAGGCAGAACTGCTAAAAGAAACACAAGAATGGGAAGAATAAATCTCTGCTCCCGGTGACTGACCCAGGTTTGATCTTGCCTCATTATCCTGGGACATTTATTTATTTTATTTTATTTTATTTGGGTTTGTTTTGCACCCATTTCTACCATCTACCTTTCCGTCTGCAGACTGGAAGAGCAAAACCTAGATGGTTAATTCTTAACATCTGAACATCTAAATTCAAATGACCTACAGAAAAACCTAAACGTATCATAGTTTTATAGGTAGTCATCGCTTCCCGACCACAATTGGGACTGGCAACTCCATAGTTAGGTGCTCCAGCTGCTAAGTGAAAAAAAAATCATGTGACCACACCTGACTTAAAAGCAGCTTCCAACTTGTCATTAAGCAAATCACAGCGGTTGTTAATTGAGACATTGCAACTTGCAATCTCACTACTGTGTTGTCCATTACTTCTGCTTGTAGAAAGCTGCTTGTGAAGTGCACAGAGGACAGTTGTTGTGATTATAGAAAACAGCAGTTACGACAATTTGCAATGTTGAAAAATTTCCGAACAAGGCAGTCAGTGAGTCACGAATACCTGTATGTATATTTTAATTAATTTGGGCTTTGGTTCAGATTTGAACAGCACACAAAGCCCATCATATACACCTGAAGATTACATTTATTCAATAAGCATGATATGTAAAAGTACCCTAAAATGATATATAAATATTATCTACAATTATTAATGTATTTTTATGAAAATTTGATCTCTATATACTGCTCTTTCCAAATGCATCGTCCTCAAACATTTGGGGTTACAGTTTCTAGTAGATGCAATTGGTAAGACCTTTGGTCAAAATATCAATCAAATTCCTATATATTTCTCTTTAGAAACATTTAAGATTTAGGCCAAAAAAATAGTATAATCTCTTCATGCCAATATCAAGAATGGGTTAGCTGTCTCAGTCCAAAAAGAAAATTAAGAAAGGGATAAAATTCAGGGGGAAAAGGAGAAAGATTGTTTATTTGATAAACACTGATCAAATTGTTATTATTATAAAAAATAATTTACAAAATCTTATTTTCCACATCATCTCAGAAAAAAACTTATATCATAATTTCAATTTACCCAGAAGCCTCTCTGCGTTACATCTAGTAAAATCTGTCAGAGTATGAATATTCATAGACTGGAATAGGTCAGCTAATGAGGGCTGTTTGGTAACTGAAACATAGTATTTGTTGTTTGGGGCCATAAGAGACAGTTTGGAGCCTGGGTGTGGCTTAACTGTTCTGCATATAAGCTTGAGGGCACTAGCTTCTCTCTCCTCCATTTTGCCTTCTCCATTTTGTGCTTCCATTTTGTGCTGTGTTTGTACTTGCTATTCCACTTCTCTACAACATGGAAAAACCTACAATGGTATTGTATATACAGTAAAGACGTTTTCTTATGTAGTTGAATCCTGCAGAATTATTTAATTGTGTTGATTGTGTGTGCTGCAACAAACGCTGACAAAATCAGCAGTAGATGCTGGATCAAACTGTCTTCTGTAAGTCTTTTCCTCTTTTTTATCCTGAAGCCCAAACTAAAATATTTTTTTGAGGAATAGTTTCTTGCCCTTTTACAAAATGCTATCAAGATACTGTGCTTTTGAAAAAAATAAAAAATAAAGATATACTGTCAAAAGTCATTTTAAAAAAAGATATTTAAATTAGGTTTTCTTTTACTTACAAGGCATGTAGACAGCTTGGAAACTTCCAACATAGTTTGGGCCGAGTTCATAAATTGTGCTAATGCTTGATGGAGGTAAGACTTCTTCTAGGAAATGGGTTGGTCCCAACCGCCAAACGAGTGATGAGAGCTGTCGCTGGGCAGGTGGTGTGCCTATATAGGCATAAACTGTACTAACTATTGGTGGATTGGCACAACTTGAACCTCCTGGGCTACTGTGAATATAGTGAAACTGTAAAATACGTTAATGCAAGACTATCATACCTATCCTATAGACAAATAAAGTTACATGCTCTACCTATGATTAATCCCCATAGGCTGCCACCAAACCATCTAGCTATTTTCTACTATCTTGCTCTGCGTACATAAGAAGTCAATACAACTAGCACCATATGCAGCTTATTTTGACATTTCTATGTGCTAAGAAAGCAAAGCAAATGTTTATTCAGGCTCCTGTCCAATTAAAAATATACATAATGTATTTATAAATGTTTTAATCTGATGAAAGCTGCATGTATTAAGCCTGCATTTAAGAGAGTGAATATACTGTATAAACATATCCGTAGTTTCAGTTGTATTTAAGGAGAGAAATTTATTTTATTTTTTTTGGCATCAGACAACACCACTGAGGATAAGAAATACAGGTAGCTCTCTCTATATTCCCCTCTCCCCCACACCTCCATGGCACCCACAATTTTCTGCACCCCCTCATTTTCATGGTGGAAGAGAGGAAGGAGCAAGGTGCCTGTCAGGCACAAAAATCAGGACCATTTTTAAGATTGCAGCATAATACACAAGAATAGCAATAGCACTTAGACTTATACACCGTTTTACAGTGCTTTACAACCCTTTCTAAGTGGTTTACAGAGTCAGCCTATTGCCCCCAACAATCTGGGTCCTCATTTTACCGACCTCGGAAGGAGGGAAGGCTGAGTCAACCTTGAGCCTGGTGAGATTTCAACTGACAAATTGCAGGCAGCTGGCAGTCAGCAGAAGTAGCCTGCAGTACTGCACTCTTAACCACTGCGCCACTGCGGCTCAGAAACTGATCAACTAAAGTTCAAAACTGAATTGGTACCAAATGAGGATCAATGGAATCAAGAAGGAGTTGGAATTAAGAGTGTTTGTGGTATCGTAATGATTCTAAGCTGATGATGCACTTAACTCTGCCACCCAGTTCTGTCTGCTCTTTTCCTACAATGCCCTCTGTTACACATTTTGATATATTTCATCTAATCTGTTACTTTATAGGGAGATCATTCATCTCTCCTAAGGAGTAACAGGAGGCAAGGTTTCCTCCCAATTGGATTACCATGGAGAACCTCTTCCACTTTTTATCTAAAGATAGTGAAGGAAATGAATCAAATTCCTCCTTCTTCGATTTTGACTAGGCAGGGGGGAAAAACCCAAGTTGTGGCTTTGTCCCCATTCCATGGTATCTTGGGACTTAAACAACTTGTTCTTTAATCCTCACACAAGCTCTTTTTAGATGGATTATATATGGGGAGAAATTTGGATATTTACTACTCCCCTATTTCTCTTGTGAATTAAGTGTGTGGTACTGGATGGATTGCTAGTGATTAATGCAGTCTAGCTTTGTTTCTAACATCCTGCATGCTGTACAAGGATAACTAACTGGAGGGGAGGCGTAGCTAGCGCCGCAGCAGTTGCAATGGGATTCCACGGGGCTCTGTGGAAATTGTCGAAATCCCTCTGCCTGGGGGTCCCTCAAGACCCTAGGCAACTCTGTAGGGGTTGGTAAAGAAGAGAGGATACTCGAAGCACCACAGGGAATCCGCAAATCCCTGTAGGAGCAGAGGAAAACCTCTCAGACCAGCAAGGAGTGACAGGCAGCCAATACGGGCTGTTACGATGAAACATCCTAAGGAAATGAAAGCTATTTGTCTTTATGGTGATAGACAAATAGAATCTATTGCTATTAAATCCATGTTTGCAGGACATTGGGACAGGAAATTCTAGCAGCCAGAGCAGTAACTCTAGCTTGACTTACGTAAAGAGATTTTATGGGGGTGGGGGTGGGGTGGGGTGAGACTTAAGGCAGAAAAAGTTGCTCTAACTACTAATAAGCTTATCCCTACTAGTTCTGAGGAACTACAAACAAAACTTTTCATTTCTCAAAAATGCATAACCAAAACATCTGTTCACATCATGTCAAATGAAACAAACAAAATATTTAAAAGTTATGATATTTATGTAGTTACTTACTAAGCACATCTAAATTATATTAAAGTAACCAAAATATCTTTACAATCCCCAAGGCATGTCACAACTTTTGAACACCCCTAATGTATGGAAATTGAAAGCTAAAAAATTTGACACGCCGTAAATCTCATATTTCACATGATTATGACTCTTGTTTTGGTATATCTTCTCTTCATTTTTATTCATTTTTAAATATCCAGAGCATGTTGCACAACATTGCACAACAACATTGCACAACATACTACAGTATTAGGCAATTATAGCCACTGTTTTACTTTCTTTGAAGTTAATCTCATAGTTAGAATATTTCTTTTCATGCACTGTGTTGGTCCCTTGCATTTTCTTTTTAACATGAATTAGACAAACCAGATGCCAGAACGGCTTCAGACTAAGTTGAGCTTTATCAAGTTTTTATTTATTCTACAATGTTTATTCTAAACATTTTGCAATATTGTTATATAGACCACCATACTGGCTTAAGTGTTCTACTTGATTTTCTGTAATTTGTAAATGTGTTATGATTTTCCAGACTAGGATATTCTTCTAAATCACTCAATTTGAAATGGATTAAGCACTGATATCTTTTATTTCATGTATGCATTTAATCACGAGTCAATTCTGCTTTTTGAAGAATAAGGATAGCAGCAAACAACACTTCTTCAAATGTTGACTAGGGAACCAAACAGAACAGCACAAAGAGCATAAAATATCTTTTTAGATATGACCAAATAATGTAGCATTGATTTCAGAAAGCAAGATTCCCTCTTCGTATGAATAGCAATCACCATGGGTCCTATGATACAAGGACTTTGATGTTGCACACAAGTACTAAGGGGTAGAGCTTGCATTATGACATCACTGTGTGTGTTTTGTCATTTTGACAAAAATCAGGGCTTGCTTCAGAAACCCCTGGCAAACATGAACTTAATATCACGAAGTGAAACAATACAAAAGCTAAAGGTTTCCCCTGTCCGGTGGTGTCCAAGTTTAGGGGGCGATGCTCGTCTCTATTTCTTAGCCAAGGGAGTGTTGCCCAAAGACATTTCTGTGATCATCTGGACAGCATGATTATACCCCGAGGCACACAGAACACTTGCCTTCCCACCGAATTGGTACCTATTTATCTACTCGCATTTGCATGCTTTGGAACTGTTAGATGGGCAGGAGCTGAGGCAAGCAATGGGAACTCGCCCCATTACGTGGTGCTCGGGTCTCAAACCCAGGTTGTCAGCTTTCCAGCTGACAAGCTCAGTGTTTTTAACCACTGAACCATTGCACCTCTGAACCAACATAAAGCAACTACCAACAGCACTTGAGAATAAATACTATCACATATATTTTCTAGTAAGGAATAGATGCTATAGACTCTGAATTTACCTTGACTGTATTAATCAACTGTCCATCAATGTAAAGTGCAGCAGTACTATTTTTCAGCATGCCTTTGCTCATTACCAAAACCATGTGATGCCACTGGCCTTCCACTATGTGGTCACCACAACGAAAACGAGCACAACAGGGCAGAATCTCATAGCAGGAGGATTCCTCATTGAAGTCATCAGCTGAAGACACACACACAAAAAAAGATTGTTTCAGTTTCAGTTGCCAAAGGAATATTGGCAATGTTCAAACCCAAAAAGAAGTAATGCCCCATTAAATTCCCCATTAAAAATAAGAGACCATGAGCATGGTACTCTAATTTGGCTTCAGATTTATCATCAAATCAAAACATTAGAAAATCAGAGTACAAAGCAGTTAAGCACTTGACTGTTTGTATTCAATACACCATCTCAATAAAGAACCAGATACAGAAAAGAATAAGAGTTAAGACTACATTAAAATTAATTAAATAAGTGTATGTTAATTTTAATGGACTATCCATTTTCATTTACTAGGCAAGCCATTTGAAAGAGAATCACAGGGATTGAACTTTTACTACTAGCAACATTAAAAAGTTACATTTGGCTCAAATGTCCTACAGGTAATTCTTGAGTTACGACAGGGTCATTTAGCGACTGGCTAAAGTTATGACAAACTTCCACAGGAGTACTTACAACCCAGTTCTGAAGTTCCATCAACTCTCTATGTGGTCAAGACTTCATGTTGGGCACTTGGCACAACCGGCCCAGATTATAACCATTTGCGGTCTCTTGCAGTCAATTTTATAACTTTTTTTTTTTTGCAGAAATTAAGTTATAAAATTGAGTCAGCCATGTGGGTGAGCTAATTTACAACCATCATGATCTACGACTGTGAATGGCAAGCTCCATTTTGGTTGCAAGTTGAGGACTACCTTTTTTAAGTTATTGTAGAAGAAAGGAAAAATTAGCTGAAGAACCTCTTCATTATACTTGGGTTCGATTTCCACAATTACCAAGTTCAGGGTCCTCAACAAATTAAGACTTCAGGTTTACAATAATAGTTTGTAGAAGCCTTAAAAACTATTCCAGCTCGTTGCTTATTCCCCCATTCAACCCATCATGGTTTGTTGGAGCAGGAATGTTATTTCAAGATGAAGCTTGATTATCGTAAAGTGGAAAAAAAAATGGATGAAATGTGTCTAGACAGGCTGGTTCTTACCGTAATTCTGAAGCAGTTCTTCTTTAGTTGAAACAATAAGGGATCGGTCTTTTACTGAAAGGACGATAGCGAGGCATATATAGTGCTGTTCAGAACTGTTTGCCCGCCTTACAATTGTAAGTAACCTAATTGGATGATAATTTGGGGCTGTGCTAAAATGTTCCACACAAAACCAACTTGAAAAGCTTAATCCAGATGGAGGTGGGAAAAGCCGCTCTCCTGTAAAACAAAAATGATGGGAAATTAGCTATTACTGTATTTTTCGGAGTATAAGACGCACTCCCCACCCCCCTAAAAGAGAGTGAAAATTTGAGTGCGTCTTATACACTGAATATAGCCAAAAATGCGAGGCACGGAGGATGTGATGGTCTGTGGCAATCCCTGCAACCTGGAACAGCTGATTGGAGGTATTCCGGGAGGCCGATCCACCCGCCAATCAGCTGCTTGTGCTGAATCAGGCTGCAATAATGTGCAGAAGCTGACCTGGCTGTTCGCTATTTGCTGCAAGGACTGTCAGAGTTTGCAGCAGCAATCACATCCAGAAAGCACACACAAGTAACTGATTCAGCAGGATTCAATAACTTCTCTGTATATATAATATAACACATGAAGTAAATATACAATACCAAAAGCAGATTTTCCAACATGATAGTAAATACAAGCAAAACACAAGCAGAGGAAAGGAGTTTCAGTTTTAGTTTCAGAGATCAGCACAGCATGCAGCTTTAGAACAGTTGAGCTAAGCCACGCCCAGGCTCCTTGCTGTCTCCTTTCTTGTTGCTCACACAGCTGTTTCAGTTTCCAAACAGCCCTCAACTGTCTCACACACTGACAGGACGCTAGCCAGATGAATACCAATGGATGCTGGTAGGCAGAGGTGTAATTTTTTTTTTCTTATTTTCCTCCCCCAAAACTAAGGTACTTATACTCCAGAGCGTCTTATACTCCGAAAAATACATAACTCTTTCTCCAAATTCTTTACATATCTAGGTTGAATATTTTAATCTTGCAGCTGTCTACACAGCTGGATCCTATGAATTTCTGGAAGAGGTAAAAAATAAAAATATTACTTATTAAAAAAATCTAATTCTGCTTTAGTAGGTAACTTCTTTCAAAAGTGCATCCATCTTACTGATGCATGTTCAGTCATTATGCATAGTGGGCTACTCGTGCATGATCATATAATAATAAATTAGTATAAAAATCTTATTCACATCAAACAAATATAAAATATGAAAGGACATGAAATTAAGTAATTCATTAATGCATCTGGGAATCACTGCCCAAACTTTGTGATTGCTACTGAATAGTAAATAAAGAAGTGATATATATTCAATCACAAAAAAGTTTATGATCCGTTATTTGTTTCAATAGTTTGCAGCCAATTACTAAACATTTTCCTATATTATTTCCCCTTTTTTTTTTAGTGTATAAAGGGAAGGGAAATGCTGACACAATGTACTTAAAGCTTCCTCCCTTCCTTCCTTTCATTTATTTATAACCCATTTTCTACAGGCTTCCGGTGATTTACATCACATAAAATCCTTACATTAAATGGTTCACCCAATTGTTTGAGGATTCAGCTATGCTCTAATAATCAGTTAAATTGAGTTGCTGTAACTTTTCTGCCACTTTTCTCTGCTTATGATTCTCACAATATAATGGAACACTGGCATTTTGCCTTCATGAAAAATCTAACCAAAAATGGGTCATCAAGAGGTCAGTTAAAAAAAATACTATCCTGACACAAAGGTAAATTTACAGGTCCCAGTATGAGGTTATATACCACGGGTGTGAAACTCAAGGCCCGCGGGGCTGCCCTGAAAACAGTGAAGGACCGGCCTGCGGTGCCTCTACCAGCAAAAATGGAGCCTGAAGCAGCCCTCCTAAGCTCCGTTTTCACTGGTAGAGAGTTGCAGGAGGCTGTCGCAGCCAAAAACGAAGTACAGGAGCTGTTGTGGCTTGTCAGCAGACTGTGCAGTTAGTAGCTGATTCCAACAGCGAGGAGCTGGTGTGGTGCTGCGCCAGAAGCCTGTGCAACTGGTGCTTGAGTCAGACAATGAGGAGGCTGGAGAAGATGTGGTGCCAGAGGCGAGGATTCAGCCAGGGCCTTCAGAAGCTCCAGAAGCTCCCATAAGTGAAGAGGAAGAGCCTCTTCTCGATGCACGAGCGCAGAGAGCTGTTAAAAGGCAGGAGTGGCTCCTCAGGAGGAGGTCTCCTTGAGAGTAAGGCTTGGGGCTAATTGGCCATTCCCCTAGCCTATTTAAGGAAGGATGACGACTGATGCAATTTGCAGGAAACAACTTCATTCATACTCCTTTGCGTCTTGATTCCAGAAACATTTGATTTGGCTCTTGTTTATCTTGTCAGTTTTCCTGCAAATTGCTTCTGGGCATTCTGCCAACCACAGAATCTGAAATACTGTGCCTCAGAATTGAGTTATTATTCTTTGGATTCTTGTCGGCTGCTAATGAAGTTAAATTAACAGCCCTTGTTCAGAAAAGACTGATTTAAACTGTACTTGTGTTCGAACAACTACTAAGAAAGCTCATTAATAGTCCTTAATTAGTAAACTAAGGTTTGTACGGACTTTGTGTGTGCTGCGTTCTTTGGGGTCTGTAGCTGGGGCAGAACAGGAGCCCATTTTTGCTGGCAGAGCACTCGGGCCACCAAAGGCACCCACAACATGAGTGACGTCGAGCTGGCCACACCCATCCCAGCCCCCCGAGGTCAAACACAACCCTGATGCGGCCCCCAATGAAATCGAGTTTGACACCTCTGTTATATACCAAATGTAAAATTAAGATATCATACTGCTATTCTCCGAAAACAATACACAAAGCACATCTATCTAAGCAAGCCAGAGGTGGGGAACTATAGGGGCCCCTTTATGACTTGTGGACGTCAACTCTTGAGAAATTCTGAGCTGCTATGGCTGGTTAAAGAAATTCTGGGAGTTCACAAGTTCATAAGTCATAAAAGGGCCACAGTTTCCCACCCCGATCTAAGTGGACAACAGTCAAGGACTCACCGTTTCCAATTCCACTGACTACAGTGCCATCAATCAGTCCTGTAGTAACAACATTATTGGTTGGTGCATTGTGAGGTGCCAAGCTAGGTAAGAACAGGCAACTATAAAAAAGAGATGAATGGATTAGGAACAGTTTCTGAACAATAAAGGAAATCAACAATATCTATAGTAAATTAGATCAAAAGCTAGCTCTTTTGCAAGTTATCTGGGCCTAAAACCAGTGACAGTAACATCAATAAATTATTAAAATTCTTCTGTTTGTCTGTTTGTAACCTTCAGTTGGGAGAAACAGTGCATTATAAGCAGGGGTGGGTATCACTTACCTTTGCTACCGGTTCGCTCGCGCCCTCCCCATCTGCACATGTGCAGAAGTTTCTGCGCATGCGCAGATCGTATTTGATGACGTCTGGGAGGTGGGCGGAGCCTCCTGCCACCGCTGCTACCGGTTCGTTCGAACCGGGGCACACCGGTAGCAACCCACCACTGATTATAGGGCAATCAACATACTTCAAGTGGGCCAACTTAAAGATCAAAATTCAGATATTTGGCACCTGACATGTATTTACGATGGTTGCAATGTCCCTGGGATCACGTGATCACTTTTTGCGACCTTCTGACAAGCAAAGTCAATGGGGAAGCCAGATTCATTTAACAACACTAATTACTAATTTAACAATGGCAGTGATTAACTTAACAATTATGGAAAGAAAGGCCGTAAAATGGGTCAACCCGTTAACAATTGTCTTGCTTAGCAAGGGATATTTTGGCCTCATTGTGATTGTACATGGAGGAGACTACCTCTATCTCTGAAATGATGACCGAATGAATCACAGGTTGTCAAGCCAGCCACATATCATAGTAAATTGTACATCACCTAGATTTTTTTTAAAAAAACCTATATACCGTATTTTTTGGAGTATAAGACGCACCGGACTATAAGACACACCTACCTTTTTTGGTGAGGAAAACAAGAAAAAGAAATCTGCCTCTGCCTCCCAGCAATTTTGCCTCGTAACAGCAAACAGCCTGCTTTACTTTCATTTTCGTTTTCAGCATAGCTTGATTAGTACAAGAAAAAAAAATCTGCTCCCAGCAATTTACCTCCTTGCAGCAAGCAGCAGAGGCCCCCGCAAAACAGCTGAGAGTCACTAGGCCTATCCAATCAACTTGTGCTAATTAGGATGTGCTGAAGCTGAAAGGAGCTGTTTCTTCTTGCTGCTTGCAGCAAGGAGGTAACTGCTGGGAGGCAGAGGCCAAAGTGTGGGGGGCCAGTGGGTGGGCAGGGCTACATTTGGTATATAAAACACACCTAAATTTTCACCCCCTTTTGGGGGGGGGAAAGGTGCATCTTATACTCCGAAAAATACGGTATTTTTATTGAATTAAAAAACAACAGTAAAATATAAACTAATATCCTTGGTTTTAATGTCTGTTTTTAACTTTCTACGTATCAACTGTGTATATTAACTGTAAGCTGCCCAGAATCACCCTATGTATGGTAAAATGGGCAGCCAATGCATTTTATAAATAAATAAATAAAATAAAAGGAAGAAAGCGAAGGGGATAAAATGGTAAAGTTTAAAAACGCATAAATCAAACCTTTAAGAAAGTTTGACTGACACCTATACAAATGTTGAAATTCCTACTTGGAGCAAAAGACAGAAATGGCCTTTGACCTTCAGCTTTTTGATAGGAATTGCGAACCAGTGAATGCCAGCACATATGGATTGATTGAAGAATACAGTAGTGGCACTCACAGAATCCACTCATACTGACACACAAATGTTCCCCAAAAGAGAACGTAAGTACATAATAAGTAAAAATTAATATGGTAGAAGGACTCTCTGAAGGACAAACATGGCGGGGAATAGGAATAAATATCATACTGGGACTTTCCTAGCTGTCATACTAAGAGCAGTGATGGAAAACCTGCTCTTTCCAAGTTGCAGACAAGCCCCCAGATCTCTTTTCTATGGCCCAGAGCAGGAGTCTCCAACCTTGGCAACTTTAAGCCTGGCGGACTTCAACTCCCAGAATTCCCCAGCCAGCTTTGCTTTCTGGGAGTTGAAGTCCGCCAGGCTTAAAGTTTCCCAGAGGACCTTCTCCACCACAATCGCTCAAAATTGGCTGCATGAGTTTCTTGTATTTTGGGGGGGGGAGGGGAAACGGTAGAAATTTCCCCGTAAAGCCTAAAATAAAACTGTCGCACTTTAAAACCAATAAATAACCGCCTATCCTCTCAGTTGCACCCACACGCATGATGTTCCCTCATCGTTTTGCATCACTGTTCCATTTATTGGACCCAAAATATGTTTTCCCGCCTCCCATAAATATTTCCAAAATGTCAGGAGACGTTTGCCATTTGCTTTCCACCTGTCTGTTTGATGGTACATTTGTCCCCATTCTGGAAAATGAAGTTCTTGCTCATGTTCTTTGAATAAGACCCATGATTAACAAACCGTGGGAAACATCAATCACATAACTGCTACGTCATTTAAAATAGAAGAGCGTATGTGTGCGTGTGTGTTGAAGGGAAGATGGCAAAATGACACATTGTGGATTGACGTCACAATTTTGATGTGTAATCACTGAGCTAGAATTACATCCAAGGTAATTCTATCTCCCTGTGTTGTTGTTTTTTCTAAAGATAGGAATAAGAATATTTTAAGGAGATAATTCAATATTTTAGCAAGTGAAATACAAAACATTATAAACTCACATTATGCTTTCACAATCTAAATTTCTTTATGGACCAGTACATCAAAAATCAAAGCAATTTCTGGGTACAATTAATTTTAAGAAGTAGTAATCATAATCATAACAATAATATTTATAACATTAATAATGATCACATAATAATAATAGTATTTAATTTAATTTAATTTATCGCATTTCTATGCCGCCCAACTCCCAAGGGACTCTGGGCGGGAAATATTTATGGGAGGCGGGAAAACATATTTTGGGTCCAATAAAGCTTTTCCGCCTCCCATAAATATTTCCAAAATGTCAGGAGACGTTTGCCATTTGCTATCCACCTGTCTGTTTGATGGTACATTTGTCCCCATTCTTATTTGCTTATTCATTTTAGTGAACCTTCCTTATGTAATTAGTCATTCTCTTATGCTTTTAAATTTTTAACTTCTATTTTTGCTAGTTAGCTATTGATAAAACAAATCCCATGTTAAAAAGTATTCAGTTTCTTCCTTCTCCTTAATTTTAAGTGTTAATTTATCCATTTCTTCACATTCTAGTATTTTTTTTAAATTGCATTTTCCTCTGTACGGATCTCTTCCTTTTTCCACTGTTGTGCAAACACAATTCTTAGCTGCTGTTAACACGTGTAAAATTAAATCCAAGCAATTTCTGTAAACCACATAATGAATTAGATAGAGCTCTCTGCGATCGCCAGGCGCCTTTCCAAACTTAAGACAATTGGATACAAGGGCCACTGTTAGCGGGGTGGGGTGGGGGGAATGTTATAAGGCATAAAAAGTAATGCTTTCTGGGGTGGTCTTAAACTTTGTTCCAGAAGAATGTGTAACATCAAAAGCAGCCTTCCGTGTCACATTTTATGGTTGTAAAATCAAAACCATGCCCTTAAACCTCCATGAAAGAACAATGAATTAAGATAAAAGATTTTGCAAGACCTTACCCGAACCCTTCAAGAGAAGTGTCAAATTCAATAAACGCAGGCGTAACGGATGATCCGTGAAGCCTAATATCATGTGGGGTTGTCATAGAAACCAAACACTTCACTCTTGTCAGGGGCACGGTGCTTCCTTCAGCTGGCTTCAAAAGGCTCTTGCTAATCCTGTAGTGGCTGTCTTCGTGTAAGCTGAACACACAGTCAGTACCAAGACCTTCCATTGATGTAACCATACTATCTGCAGTAGAAATTAAGAAAAAGAGGTGTAAAAAAGAATAGCTGTGCTAATAGCAAATGTGAAAAAAAAAAGGAAGAGGTTGAGCTAATGGAGAAAGGGGGAAACAAAAGATAGGTTTGTTGCTTGATGTTAAGTCCCACATATTGTAAAATGTGATTCACATATTCTACGTGGGTGAGATACCAGCAATGGACTAGATTAGTGATGGCTAACCTTTTCCGGACCGAGTGCTGAAAGCGTGGGCGCGCACGCCCTAATGTGCACAGGTGCACCTGAACCCCCAAAATGCAATGTGCATGCAGCCCCTGTGCATGCGTGCATGGCCCCCCCTGCATTCCCCCCGTGCATGTGCTTTCCTGCACATGCACGTGTGGCCCCCTGCATGCTTCCCCACGCATGCGTGTGCCCCCAGTACGTGCCCCGCCTCCACGGATGTGCGGCAAAAACCCGAAGACCAGCTGGCTGGTGGGAGGCACGCACGCATGCACAGCACAACTGAACTGGGGCAATGGCTTGTGTGCCCACAGAGAGGGTGTTGCATGCCACCTCTGGCACGCATGTGATAGGTTCGCCATCACGGGACTAGATGGTTCTAAAAATGATTAGACCGACTATACAATCAGCCCTCGAAATGCTAATGGAAGTTATAAAAGTCAAGGCTATCCATAATAGACAAAAGAACCAAAGAGCAATTTACATAATTGGAAAGCATTTAAATTTTAACTCGTGAAATTCCAATGAAATCATTCACTGAAAGACTCAAATCCTTCTTATGCCAGTTTTATTGGGTTGTGAATTAAATGTTAAGATATTCTTTTTCTTCTAGTTAATTCTCACACTGAAAATCTATCTTATGTGGTCATTAAGAGATAATATCAACTTGATGGCATATAATCAACCCATCAATCATTGCATATCTTAATGACACATAGTAGCATCCAAATGTATTTTAATTTCCACAACAATATCTAATTAAATCCAGTTTAGCCACCTTCTTCCTGCTAAGAGAAATCTTTTTCTACTCAGTCTTGTACTGAAATAGAAATTATTAAGTAAACCTCAACTATTAAAGACACTGGACTAAATATAGCCATAGTACAGTCAGCCTTTTAATCACAATCAAGGTACCTGACTCTTCTATTATTACCTACAATAATAGAAGTTATAATTATCGGATATACTATTATTATCCAGGCTTTATTCTATTTTTGATTTGAAATCAGATTTTATAGATGCTTTCAGATCTTAAATTATGGAGTTGTTATCAAAAAGTGAATACTTAGACCTGACAATGAAAATCCCTAGAAAGGCTTAAAGTGAGATACCACGCTATAATAATGTAGATTACTTCTGGTTCCTTATCCAAGATTAAACAATTTTTAAGAATTGTACTCAATCACCTTTTTCTATTACTATTCCAAAAGGCCTCTATAATAATACAAGCAAATCTCATTAGCACTCATTCTAGATTTTGCTCAAAGAATTACTAGATTTTAAGAGGTGCTAGAAGAACTCCAAATGCATTTGTAGTATTTGAACACTTACTTCTCATCTCTGGCTCATAACTGAGTGAGCTTGGTTTATGCACACGATACCGTTTCAATAGTTTTTTATCCCAGGCTCCACAATTCAGAGGATTTCCCAAACGTAAAAATTCCCTAAAGAATAATGGAGTAGGAAAATAAGAGAAGCTTCAGATTATTCTGTATTGCTTTTAACTTTAACCTTTAATCCCTTAATCTAAAGGCTTTCACTTGAACTCTTTAATGATTTTTTTTTTTTAAAAAACCTGAAACTAATCAAGGTAAAACACATTAAAAATGTCAAGTCTGTACTGTATGTAAACGCATCAGCTAAAATACTTCTTCTATTGTTATTTTGCTTATTTGCAAAATTTATAGTGTACTTTTTTGCCATCAAAAAGAATGCAAATCATGTAATCAAAATAGAAAAGTTGCAATCGTTTACGTATACAGTAACTATTCATCTAGTGATCTGAAAAAAGTGACTTATGACAATTTTTTCACACGTACGACCACAGCAGGATCTACATGGTCACATGATCAAAATTTGGGTGCTTGGCAACTGGCTCATATTTAGGATGTTTGCAGAGTCCCGGGATCAGGTGATCATCTTTTGCAAACTTCTGACATGCAAAGTCAATGGGAAAGCCAGTTTCATTTAACAACCATGTTACTAACTTAACAACTGCAGGGATTCACTTAACAACTGTGGCAAGAAAAAGGTGATAAAATGGGGGCAAAACTCACCTAACAACCGTCTTGCTTAGCAACAGAGGTTTTGGGCTCAATTGCAGTCATAGATTGAGTATTTCATTAGCATCCATGTGACTGCTTGACATTATTGTGTAGTTTTAGGAACTACACAATAATGGAGAGAATTGTAATGGAGAGAAATTTGTAAAAATGTTTTCTGTCTTGTAAAACTTTTTAATTAAAAAAAAAATAAATGGAGAGAATTGGAGAGAAGCCAGTTGAGAATATTTAGAATAATAGAGTTGGAAGGGACCTTGGAGGTCTTCTAGTCCAACCCCCTGCTTAGGCAGGAAACCCTACACCATTTCAGACAAATCATTGTCCAATCTCTTCTTAAAAATCTCCAGTGTTGGAGCATTCACAACTTCTGGAGGCAAGTTGTTCCACTGATTAATTGTTCTAACGGTCAAGAAATTTCTCCTTAGTTCTAAATTGCTTCTCTCCTTAATTAGTTTCCATCTATTGCTTATTGTCCTGCCCTCAGTGCTTTGGAGAATAGTTTGACTCTCTCTTCTTTGTGGCAGCCCCTGAGATATTGGAACACTGCTATCATGTCTCCCCTAGTCCTTCTTTTCATTAAACTAGACATACCCAATTAAACTAGAATACCCAATTCCAGCTACCGTTCTTTATATGTTTTATCCCCCAGTCCCCTAATTATCTTCCTTGCTCTTTTCTGCACTCTTTCTGAATAACGATCTGAACTGAGCCAAACTTTCTCACTTACCGCAGCACCATTGGTTCCAACGCCTGAGAAGCCAACCTTTCAAACATCCTTTGGAGAGGAGGGTGCAAAGAGTGGTCCTCATCCGTAAGAGCAGCACTGCATTTCTGCAGAAGTCGAGCATGAAGCCCGGCTTCACACATAACTTGTTGATTCCTTTCGGTGTGTACAAGAGATTGCAAGATGTTGGCCACTGCAAGCTGGAGATCCAGCGCATGCTATAAACATATAAAGCAAAAATACTGTATTTGAATACCTATCTGCATATTATTATTCTAAACCAGGAGTGTCAAACTCAAGGCCCGGGAGCCGGAGCCGGCCTGTGGGATGCTTAGATCTGGCCCGCAGGGCCGCCCTGGAAACAGCAAAGGACCAGCCAGAAGTGTCTCTGCCAGCTAAAATGGAGCTTGAGAGGCCCATGTGCAGCCCTCCCCGGCTCCATTTTTGGTCGCAACAGCCTCCTGCAGCCCTCTGCCAGTGAAAATGGAGTGTGGGGGGGCGTGTGTGTGTCCCCAAGCTCCGTTTTTGCTGGCAGAGGGCTAGCAAAACAAATTAAAAACAAAACAAAAGGAGAAATGTTTCCCCTTTTGCATTTGGGCATGCAAGAAGGGACAGGATAGGAGAAAGGGAAAGAGGAAAGACAAAGAAAAAGAAAAAGAAGGGAAGATGGGAAGAGAGAAAGGAAGGAAGGAAAAATAAGGGAGAAGGAAGAAGGAAGAAAAAAAGGAAGGAAGGAAGGAAGGGAGGGAGGGAGATTATAATGTGAGGGAGGGAGGGTCTGAGGAAAGTCCTGCCTTAGCACTTGGCCACCACAGGTGTCCCCGACACAAGTGATGTCGAGCTGGCCACGCCCACCCTGGCCACGCCCACCCTGTCCCCTCGAGGTCAAACACAACCATGATGCGGCCCTCAATGAAATAGAGTTTGACACTCCTGTTCTAAACTGTACATTCTCACTCGAACAATAGATGTAGATCAGAAATGGGAATTTTATGCTAGTTAACAGCCATGACATTAGCTCCGAGTAACACAGGTTAACTCAGATTCCCAGCACATATTGAAAATACATAGGACAACACCTGGAAGGAGATGTTTTGGGGAAAACCAATAGGATAATTAACTTTTTTTTCCTCTGAGCTTCATGCCATTGTGCAGTCATGTTGTTCCAGGTGCCAAGCAAAATACAAACTTTTTTTCGATAAACTGAACTAGCAGTGTTATCAGATCCCAGACTGTAAATATATCCTAAGATTTAAGTTCACTATGTTTATAGTAGTGTTTCTCAACCTTGGCTACTTTAACATGTGTGGACTTCAATTCGCATCATGCTGGCTGGGGAATTCTGGGAGTTGGGAGTCCACACATCTGAAAGCGATCAAGGTTGAGAAACCCTGGTTTATAGAAATTATTGGAATGATACACAATGAAGCAATACAAGACTCTCACTTCTGGCTGTGTAGTTGACCCAACAGAGACCACAAGATCCAGCATAGCTAGCATAGCTCCAGGATGGATAATAACGGCATCCAGATTTTGCAATAGTATAGTTCCTTTGTGTAACTTCGCATCAGTGGCATTTTTGGAAGGAAACACTGAAGATGCTGCTGACACTGAATGATATGCATGTCTAAAGGCGAGAAGGAAAAATGGCAGCATTAGACTCTTATCCAAAGAGTTGAATTAAGGACTGAATATTTCAGGTTCAAATAATCATACACTTCATCTATTAATGTGCAATTATCTTTGTATTATTACAAATATCTTAATTTTTTTCTTTTCCATACTAACTTGCTCTTTCTCTTATTTTTACAAGCATCAACATTTTTTCCAGAAGATATTTTTGCACTAATAATTTATATGTCAACTAGTCCAGATGAGCTATATACTCTCTGATAACAAGACGACTTCTTGTCTTAAGGATATTCTCAAATCATCTAGGTCAGTGATGGCTAACCTTTTTGCCATCGCGTGCCAAAAGTGGGGGGAGCGCGGTGGAGTCACACGCACGCGTGCCCACATCCATAATTCTATGCGCCCTGCCCCCCCGTGCTCCCCCCGCTTTTGGCACGTGATGGCCCGGTGGGCACGGTATGCCCATTTCTTGCTCTCCCCAGGCTCCAGAGCCTTTCTAGGAGCCTGGGGAGGGCAAAAACTGCCTCCCCCCCCGAGGCCCTCTGGAGGCCGGAAACAGTGTGTTTCCTGAAGGCCCAAAAATCAGATGGCTGGCACACGCATGCGTGCCGGAGCTGAGCTCACGTGCCCACCAATATGGCTCCGCGTGCCACCTGTGGCACTCGTGCCATAGGTTCGCCATCTAGGTCATGGTTCTCCCAAAGATGCTTCTTCCAAAAGGCAACTGGACTTAAAATGTTTCACTTCTCATCCAAGAAGCGAATGGATGAGAAGCGAAACTTTTTCAGTGAAAAAGGAAAACAAAAACCAAAAACGAGAAAGTCCAGTGGCCTTTTTGGAAAAAGTACTTTTGGGTCAGAAGGATTTTTTTCTTTCATCAATCTGGATTGAAAAGAAAGCTTGAGTATCATTCCCATGCTGTGCAGGTAGTCCTAGACAGGTAGTCCTCGACTTACAACCATTCATTTAGGGACCATTCAACGTTACAACAGCACTGAAAAAAGTGACTTACGACAGTTTTTCACACTTACAACCGTTGTAACATCCCCATGATCCCATGATCAAAATTCATGTTACAACTGGCATGTAAATTTTTTTGCTACTTTTATTCTCTTCATTTATGATTGTTAATAAAATTATTTGGAAAAAAGAATACCGTGGATATCCAAGAAAAGAAACAAATGGATCAATGAACAATGAACCCAGAATTCTCACTCAAAGCACAAATGATCAGACTAAAATTACCTTACTTAGGATGTGCAGGCCTACCCTGTTTCCCCAAATATAAGACCCTGTCTTGTATTTTTTGAACCCCAAAATAAGCGCTTGGCCTTATTTTTGGGGAGGTCTTATTATTTTGGGGCATGTGGAGCCAGACGGGGCTACTCTTGCCATCTTACTTGATTTCCAGCTCTGTCTCCCTAACCCTAACCAGAGGAAATGGCAGGGACCGGCTGCACATGGGTTTAAATATTTTTGGGGAGGGCTTATTTTAGCGCATGCATGCAAAAGCCCGATTGGGCTTATTATCAGGGGATGTCTTATTTTCGGGAAAACACGGTAGCTCTCTGGAGAAGGCTCTTAATAATGGGAAAGGTGGGAGATAAAGGGAAGAACGGATGGCCACCAATGTTAATGAGATCTTCATAGTTTAAAGAGCTGTAGGACCAACTTAGGGGCAGATAATCATGGAGAAAATCTATCTATGTAGTTGCTAAGAGTTGCCGCATACTTGATGGTATATATAATCAAGCAATCTTGTTTCAGAATATGAAACTATAATTTAAAACACATCATGTTAGTTTGATCCAATTACCGCAGAAGCATCCATTTTAATTGGTAAAGGATCTTTAGGTTCTCAAAAGTAATTTATTTGTATAGAATACATGGTCCCAGGGGCATATGACCAACATTCGTAACTTTCCTGGCTGGATTTCGACAAAGTCAATGGGGGAAACCCGACTCACGTAACTATCACATGACTGGCTTAACAACTGCAGTCATTCGCTTAACAACTGTGTCGAAAAAGGTCGTAAAATGGGGCAAGAACTCACTTAACAACTGCCTTGCTTAGCAATGGAAATTCTGGGCTCAACTGTGGTTGTAAGTCAAAGACTATCTGTAAAATGAAGAATAATGTATCTTACACACCTCTTTTTACAGGATATGATCATATTATACTAGATGATATTATTGTACATGTAGCTCTATAACTGCGATGGCGAACCTATGGCATGTGTGCCACAGGTGACACGCAGAGCCCTCTGTCGGCATACGCACCGTCACTAGCTGCTCTTCTGGTTTGCAGCATGGGTGCCAGAGCGCTGGAAAATGGCCCGAAAAAACAGCTGAAAAACAGGCCATTTTCCAGCCGTTTTTGGCCCAAAAAATGGCCAAAACCCAGCCTGAAAATGGCCTAAAAACGGTCCGAAAAACAGCCTGAAAACGGCCAAAAACCAGGCATGTGCGTGCTGCTCAGCTGGTCTTCGTGTTTCCGGCGCTCCGGCACACACACATGCATGCACTTTGTGGTTTGGGCACTCAGTGCCGAAAAGGTTCGCCATCACTGCTCTGTAATGTCTAAACCAGACAGCAGCCGTCACAGACTCTTATGCAAGCAAACAAACAAACAAACGCCAGTCCTATCACCTTTTCATTCAGGGCTCAGCAACATGTCGTCATCAGAAAGCCTGTAATGAGGTGTACTGAAAACTAAAAACAATTCCTGCCAATTTTAAGTGAAAACATGGGAAAACAGATTTGTAGCCATAAAAGGTAGTATATATCTCAATTTTAAAAACAAAGTGTCTTCCCACCACTGACATAATTTGGTTATGTGCTTTTATGGGGGGGTGGGGGAGGGGATATTGAAGTAGTTTTTTGTTACCATAATTTGTCTGAATTAGCAGTTTTCCCCAAAAAATAATACATTTGCTCTGCAAATAACCGAACCCAATTTGATGGCATCATATTAACATCAAACTGATTCTGATCTCTACCTGTGCACTTTGCATCATCATAAAAGTTTTCAGGACCGTTCTGTTTCTATTTTGCCTCGATCAGCAACATAGTCAGCATTTATTAAATATTGGAGAAAACTTGTGTTTTGAGTCACAAAGCCAAACCAGATCACAAAGCTTTCATTCCAGGAAAACTATGGTTGATGAAAGAAAGAAAGAAAGAAAGAAAGAAAGAAAGAAAGAAAGAAAGAAAGATAGCAATAGCACTTAGACTTATATATCGCTTCACATTGCTTTACAATCCTCTCTAAGTAGCTTTTACAGAATCAGCATATTGCTCCCAAAAATCTGGGTCCTCATTTTACCGAATGATAAATCATAAATAAATAATATAAATTTATATTTATGATAAATATCAGAAGGATAGAAGGCTGAGTCAACCTTGAGCCAGTGAGAATAGAACTACTGGTAGTCGGCAGTCAGTAGAAATAACCTGCAGTACTGCATTCTAACC